ATTGTTCCTAATATCCAATCTAAATATACCCTGGCATTACTTGAGGTATGTGGTCTGTTCATGCATTTGATATGCTACAATACTTGAAGTCCATCTACTGTAAATAAGGATGCGAAGCTTGTCTGGGAACAGGCTGGGAAGCCCTGACCTGAAGAAGCATCTGTTACTTTGCATCAGCCAGAAATAATGATAACATAAACAGACTGGTACTAAAATTTCCAGTCTTTCCTCTTGGACTCCAAAGCCAGAAGCAATCTGTGTAGTTCTGATGTTGCACTCTGTTCTTCCCCTTCAGCTCCGCACTGGGCAAACAGGTTCCCTTTGTCATAATGACAAATTTAAGGGGGACAAATTTGACTGTTTTTTTAGTAACAACCAACAGAGAATACTTGCTTTTAAGGCTTCTGCCAGGTTTGCTTAATTGGACTCTTTGGATGAAATAAGCTAGCAAAAGGCCATGCTAACAGTCTCAAAGCTCTAATTTTTACATTTTAGCACTAATTTGCTTCTGGATAAACTTCGGTTAACATATTTCTGCAACTCAGGCAAATAAAGAGTGAAATCCACCCTGCTGAAAAGAACCCTGGCCATTAGAATTTTATCTACTAGTACTGTCCCAGTATTCATCCAGCTTTTGAAGTATAGTTGTTTTGGAAACATCTATATATGTACAAAGATCATAGAATCATAGAATGGTAAAAGAAGAAGTATTTCAGTAGCTAAAATCTGTTTAAAAATAATTTCTCAATGAAAAATGTTTTACACTTGATTCCTAATATACTGAATAACAGATTTTTAAACCTTGGAGGTGGGCATCTGGTTTTCTCGCAACAGCAGTTCTTCCACTTACTCCTGAGTATTCCTTATTCTGCTTCTGCAGGTGAAAGATTAGCACCTTGTTCATACCCACTCAGACTTTGATAATGATGCTGCCAGCAAGGACACAAAGTAGTGTAAAATGAAATGGCATTCTTGTACAATGCAGCTGTTAAGAATTTGGCAATTGAAAATAGCAGTGCTTACTACTTGAAACTTAGAGTTGAGTAAATATCTTAAGAAAGGTTTTGTGAACCTATGAGATTGTTATTATTTTTCACACTTTTCCTTTCTTGAAGAAAAAAAGAATTCTAATATTTTGGGGGCTCTTAGGTAGTGTAGTTTAGCAAATATTTATCTCATATTCTAGATTAAATGACCCCGAACCAGAGAAAACTGATCCTTGCATAAATCTTACGTAAATAGAAAAACTGCATGGTAGAAGTTAACTTGGAGAACTTTCTCCTTGAATTTCTGAACAATAAATTTCACCTGAACAAACATCATAGTACCATTTTGGCTAAAACTTGCCTACAGTGACTGAGCAAACAGATAGATATATAAAATACTTCTTTACCAAGGAGAACTCACATTTATTTGTTTATCACCTGGGGCTTAAGAGTAGTTTCTTGTCAAGAAAATAATGTATCTTATGGCTGTCATTTCTGAAAAAAAAAATCATATTGTAAACTAAATCAAAGTAAAGAACATTTTGTGGTTTCTGCAAGTAAATTTGTAAAGACCAATAAGACTCAACAGATTTTTAGGACAAAATCATAAACTTGTGGTGAACACCATGATGTGTGAGAGAGGAGGGAGAATTGCCAGCTGGATCCATCATCTATCTTGGCAATTATACTGTGTTCATCACCATGGTATCAGAACACCTTTACAAGCTCCAAGAGTAATCACAGTAAAGGATCTCTAATTTCTCCTCATGTCCTAGGAGGGATGGCTTTCTTATTCTCATTATTACTATTATGAAACAGGTAGGTGAAAGTAAAGGATTTTACATTTTATTCTTAAGGAGCTGAGATTGTAATTGTTCCATTCATCAGGGAATGAAACCACAGCTGTATGCCAGCTGCCAAGAAATTTTTATCTGCTCATGGTATAGAGATAACTCTTGTCTCAGAGGAATGCAACTGTAGTGAAAGGTGCTGAAGTCAAAGAAAAATAGCCTTCATTCTTTTACATTTTCAGGGCACAAGAAAGTTGCCGAGGAAGGTAGAAAGGTAGGAAAGTAGAAACAAGGATTGTTGAATCTGCTGCTGATTGTCATTGCCTTCCTTAGCAGTGCAGGCAGCTTCCCTCAAGCATATGTGCTAGAAAGCTGTCTTTATCAAGCTGCCAGCAGAGCATGCCTCCCTTGGGCTTCAACTACTGATAGACAGAGAGGACAGGTTCTGTTTGGATACATTTTGAGCAATATACAGCTATGTGCACTGGAGCTTAAAGTTGTACGGCATGCAAAAAACATTATTTCCTTAAATATTTCTACTTCTTTCGTATAATAGGCATCACAACACAGCCCTTAACTGAGTTATTTTTGTCTTTAACTTTTGTTGGTTTTTTGTTTTTTTTTTCTGTATCCTTTAATGTTAGATTTTGGGGTTTGCTTTCATTATGAATAACAGTAGCATTATGAAATAACCCCATTGAAAGAAATGGAATTTTATGCACTATAATGAACTTTCAATAAGAATGACTTTATTAAATCTTGGTCCTTAGATTGGAAGCTTCCATACATTGAATTTAATGGTAATATTGCTGTTAACACTGATGAGTCAAGACTTTGTCCTTTGCATACAGCTGTCAGTAAGTAATTAATGTTAACCAACAGACGTAATACTAAAAAAATCCTTTGCAATGAGATTAAAAGACTGAAAACTGGACCAATGGTTCAGGCTTTGTATGGAGGACCTATTTCTGTTCTTGTTGTGCAAGTGTTCATTTTTTTTTTTTTAACTTGAGCTAAACATTATGACAGAAACAAGTGAAATAATTGGGTATTATGATATATCTGCTCTTTTTCACTTATGGACATTTAATGAGTTGAAATACTTGCATTGTTTATGTAGGAAAGCGATCCTATTGTTCACCATCTAAATTATCTGTTTCTTCATCTTATTATCAAGGCTCACTTCAACTGTCCTAGTTTGCATAGAAATTGCATGCAATTTCCTTTTTAATTTTGTTATTTTTTCCTTTTAAAGAGGAACAATCACTATATTCACAGGGAGAATTTCTTAAACTGGAAAATCGTATTGAAGACTTCAAGGTGTATATAAATTACAAAATTGACTTTAAAGAGGCCAGCTTTCTCTCAGGTGCATGGGAGTAAATGACAGACTAATTCCTACACAAACCTGAGAAAATTGTGCAAAAATTGTCCTTTTACCAAGTATTCAGTTACAACTGGCCCTACATATATATATATATATTTTCATATTATATGAATATATGAATTTCATATAGATATGAAATATAGGAAATTTTATATTTCATATATATAGGAAATACAAATAGGAAATAATATAAATATTATTTCCATACTATACATAAGTATTCCTTTTGCAGCTTCTTTACATTTTACTCCAGTTACTTGCATATAAATACATATATAAAAATATATAAATACACAGATCAAATAGTCCATTCTGAAAACTATACTCTCAGGTGTCAGCATTTTGTATCAAAAAAGTGTTTAACCTTATTGTACTCTGCAGTAATTTCCTATATACTTGTTAGGGAGCAGATGTCCTAAATATGTTATTAACATTAGATTGCATTTAGGAGGTTAGAGATAATCTGCTGATTTAGGTAAATACTGCAACAAAGAGATACCACTGGAACCTCCTGCCAGCATCTTTTTGCACCATTCCCTAATGTACATTTCACACTACAGTCAAAATGCTTTTATTTGTCCTATTATTTATCTAGCTGTGGGATCACTACACTTTCACAATAATAAAAAATAAAACAACCCTCTAGGCAAATATGTTACAAAACCACAGGAAAAAAAGAATTATTATCAAAATCTGCTTCATATTGTTTACTCTAAACATGTACTTTTCAGTCTACATGATTGACATGATGCAAAGAGCAAGGAGACTGGACTGATGCTTTTTCATTCCAGATAGGTATAACAGAACACCCAGGCAGATGTTCTAGATATATATCCCATTTATGTAGGTATAACAGAGTTGTACTGTGCTAAGAAACATCAGTGATGAATCCTGTTAGCATTATCAGAATGCTCTCTAGAAAGAGAAAATAAGAAACAGTGCTTACTTTTCCTCCTTGAAATCTTAAAAAGTTTTTTTGAATCATCTGCCAGTATACTTAGTTGATAGATTATTTCTGCTCACTGGCTATCAGATCAGAGGACAGAGAAGCAAACCCCTCTGGGGCCAGCTTTAGTACTGCTCTTCACATTGGCTGTCGAGTGCAGTCAAGAAGGGACAGTTGTTACCATCTGCCTAAAAGTGTGGTCTGGAACCTGTATAAGCATGTTTTGTACACGTCAACAGTTTTCCAACATATGCCTAAATTTAGTCTCTGAATTCATTACTGGGCTTTCAAATACGTGACCTGGTTTTCAGAAGTTCTGACCAGTCAGACATGTGGCGATTCCAGTGTAAGCTGTGATTATTCAGCATCTCTTGAACAAAATCACCCGGTGCAGTTTCCATTTTAAATCAGTGGAAAGACAGTTGTTGAATTTAGTAGATACGGTGTTGGCCTGTGGATATTTAAGCTTTGGCAACCACATTTGACATTTTTGGCCAGGCATGGTAAGCACATAAATGAATCTGATAGGCACATGAACTCTGCAGTGTCATATAATCAAAAAGATATTACAGAACTCAGACCATTATTACTTTCTCTCTACCTCTTATTTCATCTGTCTTGTGATCTAACATTTGAAAATCCTGAGCATCTTTGAACAGTTAGCATCCTTTAAAAATGGAACTGTCAGAGAAATGTTCTTCACAAATCTGAGAGTTCCTACATCTATATATTATTAGTATATGCAAGATACAAAATACATCAAGCCTTGGACAGGCATGTTGTGACAATGAAGGGAAGCACATAAAAAGGTCTAATATTCAGTAAGAACTCTTGATTTTGGTTGCCTGACAGTACATTTTGGAAGGCATACAAAATATATGGTGGCTAAAATGTTTTGATAGTTAAGTAATATAGCAACTTTACATTTTGTGAAGAACAGTTTCTTCACTTCCGGGGTTTACAGCTCACTTCTGTAGTCCTTGCAGATCAATAGTGATAAAACTTGACGGACTATAACTGACTCACTAATTTGACTTCTTCATGTTCTGGCTTCCATCCATGGATGTTACAGGCCTGGAGAATGTGCATTCTAGACTAAAACTTGTCTACCTCTTCATTACTGATGAGTTTTTAGAAGAGGTATGGGTTAGATCAGCTGCTCAGCTGTTATAACATATGTCAGAGTCAGACAGCAGAGGATTAGAAAATTTTCTCTGCTGTGTCCTCTTCTACATTTAAGCACAGCTTCTCTATGCTCAGGCACAGTATACAGCCTACTATACTGACTTTAACCTTGAAAATTTGTGATGCTCTTTCAAGTCTGTTTAGAAAGGCTTCCTCTCTGCCTTGAAAAGTTGAACTCATGAGAACAAAGGTGGCTGGAAGGATACAGCTGAAAGGATACAAAAGCAGTTCAAATTTTTTTTTTTGATCCTCTGCAGCCTTTCTTTTCTTTTTTGTTAACAAGAGATAAAGATTTTTTTGGCATGAGTTTGGAATGATGTGCAGAGCCTTCTTTGTCAATTGCAGTAATCCTCAGACATCTAGCCAGTCATTCCAGGTCTAAATTCCATGGTAGTCTAATTTACAACAAGCAGAAACATACCTTGTTCACAGGTACTTGCAATACTGTTCAAGTTCAAAGTAACATCAGTTTTGCCAAAGAGAGAACCTGACTGGCAGTTTTCCTTGTTCAGAGACAAAGTAATAGCTGTGCAACAGGCAAACCTGAGGGCTCAACTCATTTTTCATCTATACTGTTGAAAGCTGATGTAGACATTTTGGCACTTTTTTTCCCACTGCTGTATACTGAAGACGTCTGCAGTATGCATGTGTTTCCTCTTGTATATTTGCAAGTACTCCTTTAAACTTCTAAATTTATCTGAATTTTTCTGAATTTCCTTTGAATTAAATTGAATTTAAAAGAACTCTCAGGATTTCATTAAGTTCACTCCAAATGTGAATGCTGCTACTGCCTGCATCAACCCCAAGTCATGCAATTACTACAGTTTCAGTTTTACAGAAAGACTGAAGAGAAAAATATTATGTGATAAAGGTAATTTCTACATTGTAGAATTGCAATAAATTATCTTCCTCCTCAGTGAGCCATGAAAACAAGTCTCTCAGGAATGAAAAAGCATTCAGGAATGTATTTTCATTCCTGAAGCACCTCCTGCCTTATTAAGATCTCTTGATGGTGATCCATTTGCTATGTGCAAAGTGTATTTTTTTCAGACTTGACCATAACTAAAAAATGCTCAATCTTTATAGTTTAAATTGCTATGAATTCTTGAAATTACAAGAACAAGTTCATTCTGTCCACTCTGTATATGCGTATTTTTTAATGAAAAAAGAAAGGTTAGTTTAAAAGATGTGTACTTAATAATTATAAAAGGAGAAGTATATTTAGTGTCACACTGCAGGCTGGGATTTCACACATTTATGCACTGATACGATAATAATGATTGCAGTTACTAGCTAAAAGGACAAAGGATTAAGAAGTGTTAGCTATGTAACAAAAAGAAAGGCCTAAACCCAGTTGCATTTTAACCATCCAGCAAGCCTAATACTGATGAGAAAGTATACTCCTTATAGAGGAATGACAAAACTTAGTAGAAGCAAATGGGTGTATCTTATGTATGTATGCTGATTCAGGAATGTAGAGGTTCAAAACAAACTTCAGTGTTGTGTCATTCAACACTGCTTACAATATCTGTAAATCATGGGACTCTTTTCTATATACAGTATCTATAAACCTCATGCCGCTTGTAGCTCCTTGTTAAATACACTTTGCTTCTTTAACTTATGTCTGCTAAGGTATTTCTTTCATGTCTCAAGCTACCTTATTTCTCTTCTGCACATATCTAATATTTAGCTGTACATTTAAGGACTAATCATTGCAAACATGCTGCCAGTTGGCCTGCTCTAGTAGAATCATAACCTCTTTTGTTTTCGGTCTGCAATACATTTTGTATCTATATATCCAAACATCCCATTACATTCTTTAGATTTACCACCACTTCAGCATCCAGGTTGACTCATTAACATTCTCTCCTAATTTTTCCAACTCTCTTATTTACGTGAAAAAAACCCACAAGAATCAGTTCTAAGAATATATACAACCAAGCACTGAATTGAACATGTATAATATACATATATATACATATACACAGTATGAGTGTATGCATTTATACAACTTCCACTGAGACATGACTATAAATTGCTACAGTTGAAACAAAGCATAAAGTTGAACAAGCACTGCCATTGATCCATATATACCATCGATCCACATAGCAAAGTGTCATTGAAAACAAGTGGCATTTGAGAAAAATATAATAGGAATACCTAACTTTGTAGAAGGTCTGTGCCTAAAATTCAGTATTCCACTTAACTAAATGGATATGTGCTTGATTAAAGATGACACTGTAAGTTCCAGTTGAAACATTTTCTCAATTGTTTCGGAGGCAAAATGCATTCCTTATGGGATAAAACTGCAGAAAAGTAGGTGATTATTACTACCTTAAAGCATTGTCAAAAAGAGAAGTGCTGAAAGCGGAAGGTGATGGTGCTAAACTAGGAAGACTTCCGCATTTTTCAACTCAATAAAGACAACTGAAATACTTTAACAGTTTATTGACTTAGTTGAGAAAATCTTTATAAAATCACACAATGACCCAATATGTGCCTCAGTACTGTGTGTAATATCCATATATCTCAACTAGTGTTCTTGTTTCCATTATTGTACTGAATGTTTTTTTATATTTTGAACACGCAGGTGGCTATGGAGCCATTAAGCCACTAAAGCACTGTCTAGTAAAAAGGGTTTGTGCCCTAGTCTAGAGCAACTCTAGTTCATTATTAGAATTCTAACACATGGTACAGCTAAAGTAACTTCACTGACTAACAGACAAAGAGAGCATAACAACTAGAGTAGCTTATGATTAATTAGGGTAACATGATTTATGGATTCAGGGTTCTGTGGGTTTGATCCAAAGTGGTTTTTTTTTTCAAGAAGCTTTAATCACCGTCCTGTTTTCCCAAAGCACGTGCCACTTACCGTCAGATTCTGAGCACATGGGCCTGAATCCTGCAAACATTAGATTCTAGCTTAAATCCTTTGGGTTCTTTTTGCTGTAGGGAATTCTGGGAAAACCCCAGGAACTCAGTGAAACAAGAAACTTGCACCATAGCTGGTCAGGATTAATAGCCTATAAAATAAATCATTTTTTGATGTTATTATTTCTGCACATGTATAGCACTAATCATGCAAAATATTTAAGCAGCTTTTTTAGCAGTCAGATCAACAGGGGAACTTGCATAATCTTAAGCACCTGACAAGACTGGACCTTAACTGTCTGTAGTTGCAATAGTTAGTATGGAACGGATTAATTTTGTGCGGTATTTTCAGCACAAACTGCATCACAAAGTGTTAATAAGTAATAGGAGAGAGAAGCATACACAAATGATGTGATTTCAGAGAAGACTTGAGAGGGGATGTTGATGAGGTGGAGGTTTTAAGAATTAAATATTAAAAAACAAAAAGGCTGGTTTTGGCTGGGATTGATTGATTTTCTTTGCTGAGAAATAAAGGGGCTTTTTAACCTACCTCCTGGACAAAGATGCAAGGCTTAGTGTCAAACTGCTCAGTGGAATCATCACTGTATTTAGAGTTTATTTTTAAGAGAAGGCAGAGGATCTCAATTAGCTAACTACAGCCCTCTCCAGTTCCAAACGTCTGTTTTGCCCTTTGCCTCACCGTTCTGTTTCTTCATCGCTTCAAAACTCCACATGGAGTTGGCCCAAGTTCCTGAAGCACGGTAGTGATACGGCCCCACTGAAGCGCAGGTGATTGGAAGGGCTGTGTGCCATTGCGGAGCTCCGCACACCAGCCCCTCTTCTCAGGGCAACAGTCGCAGCGAGGCCGCAGCGAGGCTATCACAGACGTGCCCAAGGAGAAGGGAAGCTGCTTCAAGCGCCAGCCCACACTGTTAAATCATGCCGTAACGGGTTGATTTCCTACGTTTGGTGGCAGCATAGTATTCAGGATAACGCTATCGCTACTTCGGCAGGTTACTGCCAAACCAAAAGGCAGAGATGAGAGAGTTAAATAACAGTGATGGGGAGTGAATCGCTAAAAAGTCTTTCCCAGAGTCAGTTCTCTGTTTAGGGGAAGTTATTTTAATTCCACGTCTCGCAAAACAAGCCGCAGTCTCTCCGTGTCCTCTGGAGCCAGCCTGCCTGACATGATAACAAGATTTTTAAATAAAAGATGCGCAGGGGCAGCTCATGTTTAGGAGACAAGAACGCGGCTCCGCTCTGAAGCGCGCGGTGCGAGTGACACCGTACCTGTGCGCAGCGCGCCGCTCACGCCCATGGTGTAGCGGAGGGCGGCCCCATGGCCCCCGTTCCGACAGGACCTGCCTTCGCCTTGCAGGTGAGCGGGTCTCCGGGAAGCGCCCGCCCGGGAGAAGGAGCGCTCTATTTATCAGGAGAGCGGCCCCCTGCACTCCTCCCTCAGGGCTGCCACCCCGGCCTGGAGCCCGCGGGGTGAGGGGGCTCTGTGGGGTTTCGTCTCTCCCGCCCCAGTCCGGGAGCGCGCTGGCCACTACCTCCCGTCAGCGCGGCGCGCGCAGGGTGGGCTGAGGAGGCGCTCCCGCGCTTTTGGAGACGCACCTGTGGGGAGCGCCCGGCTGGGCGGGAAGTCTCTTATGTAAGGGATGGCGGGAGCTGCGGTGTGGGGGGAGAGTGGCTGATCAGGAACGCGGTTCGGGGGTCAGGCCGGCGGGACACTCTCTGGTCTCCGGGCACGCAGCCTCCCGCGGGCGCCTCAGAGGCCGGGCCGGGCTCGCCCTCACCCGCACGCTGCCCGCCACCGCGATTTCCCCTTTGGCGGCAGCCGGCTGGTTGCCGCGGCGAGTCCGTCCAGCCTCTCGCGCTCTGCCCGGGCAGCCGTCGCCTTCTGCGGGCTCGCCCGCCTCCAGGAGCGGCTCGGCGGGCACTGTGGCTGGCTTAGGGAGTTGTGTGAGAGAACGCACCGGGATCGGCGGGGGAGCGGAAGGTGGATGCCCCCCGCGCCTGCACGCCGGCACCAGGCAGCGCGGAGAGGCTCCCCGCTTGCTCCTCTCCTGCTTACCGCGCCCTGCAGCGCACTCGCCTCAGCCCTCCCGCCTCGGAGCCCCCTCCACGCCCCTCTCCCTATCGCGCCGCGCAGAGCCCCGCACTCCCTCCGCCACCTCCCCCCCCCCGTACTCCTCCTCCTCCCGCGCGCTCCCTCTCCCGCGCACTCCACAAGTGCCGCGCGCTCGCTCTCCGGAGCGGCGCGGAGCGGCGCCGGGCTGCGGGCGCTGCGCGGGGGCGGTGGCTCCGCCCGGCCCGGCCCGGCCCGGCCCGCGCGGGGCTGTCCGCGGTGCTGAAGGCGAGCGCGGGCTGAGCGGACGCCCGGCCCCTGACGGAGCCTCTTTATGTTCAGCTCCTGGCGCAGCGCAGCATCCAGCAGCTCGAGCGGCGGCGGCGGCACTGCTGAGCCGGGACTGGGAGGCAGAATGGAAGGCTTTATCCGGCTGGTCTTCGGCTACTTGGTGGCGGACCTTCTCACGCTGGTGTGTCGGGCTCAGGAGAAAGCTGGCCAGCAGCTAGGGAGCTTTGTGGTGCTCTCGGGAGGAAACCACTCCAGCCCTGGGGAGCAGCTAGACCCCTCTGAGCCACCTCCTACTCCGGACTTCTGCAGGGGCTACTTTGACGTGATGGGGCAGTGGGACCCCCCCTTTAACTGCAGTTCGGGGGAGTTCATTTTCTGCTGCGGCACTTGTGGCTTCAGGTTTTGCTGCAAGTTCAAGAAGACAAGGCTGGATCAAAGCACCTGCACAAACTATGAGACACCGTTGTGGATGAACACTGGGAAGCCTCCTTCGCGCATAGACGACCCTCTACATGACCCTACCAGGGATAAAACCAACCTCATTGTCTACATCATCTGCGGGGTTGTGGCAGTCATGGTGCTGGTGGGGATCTTCACCAAACTAGGGCTGGAGAAGGCACACAGACCACAGCGGGAGCACATGTCCAGGTAAGGCTGAATGCCAGGCAGCAGGGTCCCCCTCCCCGCTACCTGTCCCCTACCCCCAAAGAGGAGAGCGAAGCCCATTTGTTCCTGCTAAACAAACAACTCTTGCCAGTCAGGCTGCATTCCCCTGCAAGGTGATCAAGAGAGAGACCAACTTCGGCAAGCAGAGCTCCTGTGTTTCCCCAAGCCCAGGTTATCAAAGTACATGCATAATGAGGAGGACTAGAAATAATTGTGGAGTCTGCACAGACAGTAGTCCATTTTTATCTGCAGTGGTTGACCCTCTCCCCAACATGAACCAGCAAGTGTTCCTGAATATACTGTGCATGAATAGGAAAACAAACAAACAAAAAATCCTGAAGCCAGCAACACTGAATTATAGAAAGCCTGATAGGGTCCCTCTTCCAACTGTTTCAAAGCCTGGAAACTGTTTTTGCTTCTCAAGAGAAGGATGTAAACAAATGTCATCTCACCCTCGCTCTCCAGCTGCGAAATGGTTTTGGCAGGACCTTCCCTACTCCCCCAACCCCTGCAAGTGTGTGAGCTATTTGTGAAATTTCTAAGCTGCGAAAATGAGCCAGGGTGGAAGGAAAGAAGGAGACCCAAAAAGGAAAAGATGTTGTAGAATTTCTTAACATTTTTTTTTCAGTACTATTGAAAGGTAAAAAATGGAATATGAAAGTATTGTCTTATCCATGTATGTGTGTGATATACTTTGTCTCCACAGTGTCACAGCTGAGTTATATCAAAGAGAACCTCCCCCACCTACAGTTAGGCATGCTGTGTACTGTCTACTCCAGATGCTGGTTGCCTAGTGGTGGATAGGCAGGTGGGCAACTCGGGACAGAGCCCAGTGGCTTTAACAATATACTCCAAACCCAGATTTTCACAGCAGTTCAAAATCAAGGCATAACACATTTGTCAAGTTTGCAGTCTGTCTGATTCTTTATGCTAATCCCAGGCACATGAAAGTAAAGCAGATGGGGGAAAGGCATTAAAAAAGGCAAACAGCTCCATTAAAGAGTCTAAATAGATTCCAGCATATTGGGCAACTTTAGTGATAAAATGATATTAAAAGGATACCTTCTACTGGACGTGCAGTGTGGCAGAAAGCTTCCTCTTGTCCTGGCTGGTAATGATGTAGTTCACAGTCTTTGAAGCTTAGATGAAGAGTCATCCTCTGAAAGATAGTCTAAGAGATCAAGTCAACACCTGGAGCCTTATTTTTTACTGGTTTCCGCATGACTTTTTGATTAACTGCTTATCCTGAAATGAACAGAGAAAGCCACAAAAATATTCCTGCAAATGCATCTCTAGTTTACTGGCAATTATTTGCTATTTATAAACTGGCTGATATGGATACACTTACTACCAAGGAACAAAGCACATTGCAGAAATTTTAGTCAACACTGTGTGGTTGATACTTCTGCAAAGAGGCATTTTGTTGAGCAAAGTATAATAATCCTTTAGACATTCTGAATATTCTCAACTACTAATTGAGAAAAAGATTACATAGGTCCCAATTTATTTTTAAAATCTTACTTTTAAGCTACAGAGCTTGTTTGGTTCAGCCTCTTCCTGTAGTGTCTTCATACAGGCAAAAAGGCAGGACAGAGTGGAGTTGTGGCCATCCCTGCTTACATACGGCTTTAGTAGATCTGATTTCTCATAGTAGAAGTATTTGCTATCTAAAGTACAGGTGTGCAGTATTCTGTCTTCGTTCATGGAAATAGAATTATAGGGGATTGGAAAATAATACTGAACTCCTTCAGTCATGTATGCATAAAGATTAGGTTTCTGAAGTGGTTCTTGGAAAAGGTTGTCTGTTACCCTGATTACTTAACAGTGTCTGAGATCTTGTACTTTTCTTGCCATGAAAATATTCGAGTCAGGATTATACAGAAACTTGGAAAGTCATGATCACATGGGAAAACAGTCACCCACTCAGTACACATAATAGCTAGTCATGTTCTGAAAAAGCAGTGCTACAGCTTTTTGTTTTTTTAAAGATAAAAGTTCTCTCAGTCCTATTACAGCTGTGGAGAAGACTCACCATTAATTTTAAAAGGAGTATGGTTTTTAATTCCCTTTGGCAATCTAAAAATCTGCTCACTGAGGGAAGAATTGAAGTAATCTCTGTCCTCAAAATGTGTATTCAACTAAAATATTCCATCCTAGCTTATTTTACACTACTAGTGTTCTGAAAAAAAAAAAAGGCTGCATTGCTTAATAAAGAAACAATTTATCTGTTCAAACAGTAAATAGTACCAACAATTAAAATATTATGTAGCCTATATTCATTTTCACTCTTTCAGCACTCATCACTAAAACATAAAAAAAACCCCACCAAACAAAAAAACAAAAAGAACGCTGCTTATGGTTTTTTTTTTTGTTTCTGTACTGAACCTTATTAATAAGCAGAAGTATAAAGCATCCAGAGTGTTAGGTAGGCCAAACCGAAAGTACTAAGTGTTACTCCATTTTGGCAGGCAGCAAGAAACACATGTAGGCTGATTTGTCATCTATTTCCTTAGCTAAGATTGTCTCCTTTCCCTCACTAGCCAACAGCTATATGAAACAATTGGATCGTATTTATTCCTATGAAAAAATTCACCTATGGTGAATACACTGACCTCCCATTTGTTTACTACTATATCAAAACAAACCAAGAACACTGCATTAATTTCCCTGATTTTTTCTCAAATATTTGACAATGGAGAAGATTTGGGGAAATGATTTATTTAAAGAAAACAATCCATAGAGAAAAGTCTCTATTGGGCAAGTCGTTTTAGGAAAAAAGAGTCAAAATTTGTCCTTTCTTGGAGAGCTTGTTACTTCCTTTTGTTTTGAGAAAAAAGGCCAAATGTGGCACTGTTGACATTTTCTCTCTTTGTCAGATCAGCGCTTTTCAGTAAAACTCTCACTGTTGGCATGGAACTGTAAATCTGGAAGATGAAAATGGAGAGGGAAGTACAGTATTAACTCTAAAGGGCATATTTCACTTTAGACATCATATATTAATGTTTTCTTTATATCATTCTCATTTTTAAATTTGTTACTTGACATTAAATGGAGATAAATATTCCCTTCAGCTATGGTGTCCAAGAACTAAGCTGTAATAGGAGTAGCCAAACAGACTAACTCTTCCTTTATCCTCCTGCTTTCTAAGAGAGTAAGGGTATATTAGAATAAGATGGTGTATGTTAACAGATATGGCAAAGTGAACAAATGTGGCAGTATTGTGCCTAAAAGGAAACAGAAATGATCTGCCTCCCGAAACAGATCTAGAAAGATATTAGGCACGTGAGAGCAGCATGTTTTTGCTGCTTAAGGGTACATTAGTGGCACTTTCAAGTTCCGTCAGCTAAAATGAAGTACTCTCTCTCAAAAATGTGTAGAAAAGGGGAAAGCTTTCTGCTGTTTCATGAAGGAGATTTTTCTGCAAATAAACCCACACCTTAGTCTTCTTTCCTAATCCTTGTGGAGAATGTGCAAACAAACCAGGAACTGAAAGGCCAAGGTTTACAATCATGCTCTTACGCTATAGCTCATGGTCTTTTGAAGCAGTGCTTCTGACACTATGTTAGCAACCTTCCAAATATTTTGAACCATCTGAGCTCTTCTTTCTTCTTTTCCAATGTGCTGGGCTCACAAGTCTTCTGTTGATCATTAAAAAGGCATGTACCTGGGGCCAAAAACAGTCCGACTTGCCAAAATTGTGAATCCTACATGTGAAATTATTTCCCTTACGAGGTTTGACCCAGTTTTGGAGGCAAAATATAACAAGTGACCTTTTATGAAATAACCTATGCTTCAGCTTCTTCAAGCTTGTACCCATAAGGGAAACACCTGGCTCCACATGCTTTGTAACACCTGAAAATAGTATTACATAGCCAAAGAGAAAAAATTTATAGCAAGAGAAATGCTGAAGTTTGTGATACCTGGATAGTTCTGGGCCATGAACTCCTTAGTAGGTAATGTTTCTCCACTTCGGTAATAGTGCAATCAGTATCAGTACACAGGACCCAGTGATTTAGCTACCTGATTAGAAGGTTATCTTGTATTATACATTTCCTTAAAAAATCATTCAGTATAGCAAAGGTGTAGAAAAGACCCTTTATGTATATATAATTTTTCAGTGCAATTCACTCTAACAGTTTCTTCAGGTAGTAAGATCTATATGATGATATTCAGGTGAGCCAAATGCATGAAGGTATTATAACAGCCTGTTGGCCTACGTGGAATTTTTCAAAGCAAAGATCTATTCAAGGATTTCACCATGTACTGGGGCACAAACCTCCCTTTTTCATTATATGGGCAAATCCCTAAAAGAAAAAAATACAGCTACAGCATTTCCTTTGTACTTCAGTGATACAAGCTGCTATACATTTTTAACTCTCCCTGACATCAGTGGAAGATAAGGACAAGCTCTTTGTTATATGAGCTATTCAGCCCTGAGGAGAGTATACAACTTTGACTAACACAGTATAAACATAGGTACTGTGTTGTTAAAAATAGAACTTGAGGGCGAGTAGTTCCTTTTTTCTTAATACAGTGGGAGCTGGACAGCTAATTCCTTAAAACCTCTTTGAAAAGGCCACCCTAAAATGGTAGAAAACTCAGTTGGCATTTTCACAGACAAGCAGTTGTTAATCTGCTTTCATACGGGGTGTTATGTAAAGTCTACAGTGAACAATATTTAAATAAAGGACAATGAAAGTGTTTCTGAAAACCTGTTCTCACAAAGTTGGGAAATACTAATCCATGTATTACGAGATCTCACAGTTTTAACTCCCACACTGAAGTTAGGAACTTTCATTTGCCTTTCTTCCTTTCCCAGAAATGTGTCCAGCTGCCTCTGGAATTAGAATGAATACTGATGTCAAGAAGTTTCTTTGTATAAAGACATATGTGCATAAATTGAGGAGATATTAACGGTTTTGGTCCCCCCTTATTTTAAACTATGTTTTGCAATATAATGCTTTCCTTTCTCCCCATTTTCCTACATACCTTTGTGAGATCTCTTCAATCGAATTTTTATTATTCTGCTATGTAGGCCAGCTCTGCTATTTCTGCTGTATAAGCATTACTTCAAATGGGAGCATTCCTCTGATAGCATTAATCATTTGGTTACTGTCTTCTGACCTTTTACAGTATCAACAGAGTATTCTGTAACATGTTGATCACAACTGTAACTAATAATTTAATTACATAATGCTAGCCATAAACACAATGAAACATCAGTCTTATTCAGCTGTGTACCAAAGCAATGTTCCTGCAATCTGAAGCAAGATCCAGTTCAGGATTCCTCTCTGTCACTTAAATGAAGCTACTTTTTAATATTTAAAAGCACAGTGCTTCCTGATCAAGAAATCATCATGTCACAGAAGTAGGGTGGAGGAGATAGATGGCACTTGCCATGGCTTTCACCAGTGAATGTGCTTGGTTTTATTTATTTATTAATGTATAAACTAGTCTTTCTTGATGCAGTATCTGGGACACTGTATATAATTTTGCAGAAAATTAAACTAAACTGGGCACAGTGCCCAGAAAATAAATCCATTCCCTTAAAAACAAAAACTCTGAAGACACTGGTAACACACACCACAGGCTTCCTTTGCCTAAGGCAACAGTTTCTGCAGGTGGGCCAGCTCTTTTGTATGGCACAGTAATTCATCAGGTAGCTATGTGGCATGTACCTAAGGGTTAATCCTGCTCCTACAGAAGTCAATGGTAAAACTCCATAGCCCAGAATCACAGACAAGAGTTAGATGTTGTCATGCTGAGTTTTGGAGCTTAAAACTTAGTCACCAACTCTGGATCCACAGGGCTTATACAGATGTGTGCTCTTAAATGTCTGACGAATAATGGACTTGCACTCAGTAGGACACTTGGCAGTGAGATTAGTCCTTAGAAAATACACCAAAGCAGGACGATTCTGTCTCAGATATAGCTGATGCCTGCAGCTCTGCAGAAAAAGTCCACAACCAGTACCAGGTTGGGCCTGGCCTAACTTAGGAATCCTTTTGCTTGCCCCCTCTTTGCTAGCATAAAGCTTTTATCCTGTTTCTGAACTGGCTTCAAAGCAGCAAGGAGTGTGCCTGTGCAAGCTTTGCTCCATCTTAGTGACTAGGAGACTCACAGGAGTTAGGAAAGCCATTTTTCATCTCCCTTGTGGATGGGAAAAGCTTAAATCCTTGCCTATTCAATTTCTACGTGAAAATCTTGTGACCTTTCACTTTTGCTGACATTTTTTATTAATTTGA